AAACCAGGGAGCCAATCGAGACCTACGTCGGGTCAGAGGCCGCAAAGGCACGACTCGGTCCAATGCTGCGGCGGCAGTTGTTTCCCAAGCCGCCGCCTGATCTTCCGCCGAGTCGTGGACCAGATCCTCCGGATATGGCCCAAGCTCCGTCAGGAACCTCTCAGGGTCCATCAGTCGCCTGGGACGGAACCATCTAGAATTTACTGATGTATTTCCACAATTTATACGAAATCTTACAATGACAATGTTATAGTAAATATAATTATTTAAAACAGTTTAGCAAAGCAGCAATGCAGTCATAATAAGAGGCTTTTGCTGTCTTCATAGAAAGAAAACAGTCTTGTGCCTGCAACAGCGTTTTGCATGCACAAAGCAGGCAGAGCTTTCGTTGCAACAGCACAAGGTTGCTTTTGTTATTCTTCCTGATTCTGGCCACCCTTGTGCACACTGTTGATTACAGTCACAAAGACTTACTTAAAAGTGAACCTAGACTTTCAAGCTAAGGGAAAATTAAAGGAAAGCAGGTGCTTTTCTTCTCTGTAATCTGAAGAACATACAATTAAAAGCAATCACAATAAAAACATAATCCCAAACCAGTTCTAATTATACTGTATCTACCATTATCAAAGGTTTGTCTTTAGGTCTTTAGAACATGATGTTTCTCTGCAAGAGACACATTATGATGGCCTGGTTTAGCTAACATTAAATTATCACTAGTTTATTTGATTTTAGCTGTGTGCAATATATTAATTCAGTCACGGCAATTTGGCAATCATAGTTACTAGAAGATATGTAACAAAAGCAATTGTGGCTTCATTAGGGAATCATGATTAAACAAATAATGGCTTAACAGAATGTGTGAACCCATCCCAAAGGATATATCAATTGTTCAGTAATACCTAAGATTATGGGACTTTACCATTTTCCTTTTGAATTTAAATATATCTTTCTACAAAAAATGTACATTATATGTATAAAAGCACCAGCAGAAGCAAATTAACAGCACTGAACAAATCAATAGTAACGGAAATGAACAATTATCACTTTCTCTGCATGTGATCTGCAAAGTGTTAATGTATCCTGCAAACGTAAACAGAAAAATGTGTTCTTGACTGGGTTTCAAATCCTATTATGCAAAAAATAATAACATTAGTTAGCAATAAAAGACTTACTGTGTTTGGCATAATTAAATGTGACATATTAAGTGGATGTTAATAAATTTGGCATATACCTCAAAGTATTTTCAGTTGTAACAGTTGGCAGTTCTGTGCTTAGGCTGCTTATGTTACAGCCTGTAATTAAAAGAGGTAACGGCAGAGTCCTAATATCCAGCGGCTTATAAATCTGAGCTCCAATTCCAACCCAAAGGGTAAGAACAAATCCACAGATGAGACCTATAAATGCACCCTGTAAAACAAGAAATAGAATCTGACTACAGCATGGGACTTTTTAATATAATTTCGAACTCCAGAAAGAGAAGGATCTCCAAGTCATCCTGTTGATATTATTTCTGAGACAAACATTATGTCCCTATAGTATACCAAAATTTTAAAAAGCTAATGTTCACAAAAATGTTTACAATTCACTGTGGTTTGAATTGATGCATTTAATAGTTTCAAATCCCTTTGATTTGTTTTTTTTAGGGAGACTGAAAAATGTCTTGAATCAGAAGATGGGGTAGCAATTAAATAAATAGTACTGTAAATAGAAGATTTTCTTACCATGGCACTGACAAAGGGAAAAAGGATGCCCAAGGAAAAGAGTCCCAGGAGAGGCCCACCAATCATGCCAAAAATGGTCAATGCTGCCTAAGAAAAACATTAAGTTATACATTTGAAGGAATAAAATCTACAAACGGTGCTAAATAGCTTCATTTTCATTAAACATTTTAAAATGAAAAGACAGCATTTATTTACAATACACTTATCCAGCTTTTCTACTGGAAAAAAATCAGAACCACAATAGTGGTTATTTATTAGAACAACATTTCCTAAATGATGTCTTGCAGATATGTTGGCTTTAACAAATGTACTATAGGTAGGCATTTAGGAAACTGTGATCCTTTCCACCACATGTGAAGGGCATCAGGTAGGCAATAGTACATTAACTTACAGATAAGAAACACTATATATTAAGATACTGCACAATTAGTAATAGAAAAATATGACAGGGTATAGTTAATCCTTTCCCTGCAAACCATTTTCCCGCTTCAAATTGCCCATGATGAATTGGCTGAGTTCTGATTTTTCAAACTAGAGATAAATATCATTAAAAGGAAAGCAGAAATGGCCTATGTGGAAACTATTCCCTTCCTTTATATCTTCTCTGTCATCATTTGCCCCCCTTAAAATAGCTTTTAAAACAATATATGGACATAAACACAGACAGACACAAACAAAGGAAAAGGAAAGAAGAAAGGAAAGCAAACCATTTTATGCTGACTTTTATTTATTTTTTTCTGACTTTTATTTGTAAACTAGCTGTACCCGGCCACGAGTTGCTGTGGCTCAGTCTGGTTAAATGGAAAAGCATGTTTTTACCTGTCACAGGTGTGACATCTATATAATAGTAGGTATATAAAAACATGTGCGTATTCGAATGCAACATTGTGTCAAAATTTCAAAGCAATCGGTGAAGAATTTTCGGAGATTTAAGATTTTGAACAAACGAACATTTACATTTTTATTTATATATAGATGTCTTATTGACACATCACATGTTTGTACTGCACTCTTAAACTGCACCTGTGCTATGCTCATGCTGAATCAATTCACTGCAGGATGAAGGCCTCTTCATTGAAGGTTATGGACTGCACTGGCTTACACTATTGAGGTTTACTCAATGCTAATACTACAATCAAAGTAAGTCCAAAGTATAAAAAAGAAGAATCCATTGAAAGGAATAAGGGTTGCTTTGTTTTCCAGAGAGATTTCTTGACAAAGAAATTATTAATTATACCTGTAACAATCCTCCTAGAACTGATGCCAAGGCAGCCATAGCAATGCACACCGCACCATAAAATAAACCTATGTGGATGATGCACACAAAGAGATCAAATAAGTTTTTATTTATTTAATAGCATTAGACAAAAGTCAGATTGTTCTTTGATGATGATGATGATGATGATGATGATGATGATGATAATAATAATAATAATAATAATAATAATAATAATAATAATAATAAAAAATCCAGATTATGCAACCAATCATAATAGGCTTTTTTCACTGAACAGATTTTTCTTTAAACATATAGCCATTTAGCTTATATATAATATTACAAAATAATAGCTCATATATTTAAAAAATAGTAATTGTAATTTTTAATATATAACAAATCATTTTAAAAACAAATTAAAAATTTCCTTCTTAAGATAATTTAAATTTAAAATAAATATTAATATATACTTACTCATCCCCATAGAAATCCAAGACAATTTAACTTCAGTTAACGTGAAATAAGGTTTAACGAGGTCCTCTACAGTCACAGCAGCTAAAGCATTGATGCTAGAGGACACTGTACTAAGGCAGATAAAATAGAGTCCATGTAATTTCATATCAATTTAAAGGTGTATTTCGCTTGCTATCAAACAGTTACTATAGTGGTTATTATTTCTGCTGTTAAAGTTAAGCAGCTGAATAACAATAATTGAAAGACATTATTAGTTTTATCTATTACTTAGGAAAAAAGCCCATAATTTAAACACTCTCCATTCTGTTCAAAGAAGTTCCTAATGAAATCTTAAAGAATCAAGTCTATATAATAAAGAAATTACTGACCTCTTATAACATATGTTATAATAAGTCATAGTTAGTATATACCACAATGGATTCATGTCTTATGCTAAAAAAAAATCCAAGCAAATTTTGGTTTAGCATAACGTACCATGGTAGCAAGCCAGTGACTTCCATTTCTCTGTAAAATTTTCCTAAGTTCACTTTTCTTTTTATTTACTAATATTATTGTTACTTTGTTGTTAGTTTAAAATTTTTTAGGTCGCCTTAAAGAGCAACAGTATTCCCATAAAATACAATTACACATTTAAATTAACATACTAATAAAGTATGTGCTCTCAGCTCACATTTAGATTAATTAATATCTGCGTCACCTAAAATAACTACATAAACAGTGAAGCTGTGCTATATAATCCTATACTTAGTAGTGGGATGAGTGGTCGTATAGATTGTTTTAAAGGGAAAATAAATACATCTGTTTAATTGGAAATCCCACTAAAATGCAACCATATATATTTGTTGAGAAGTAAGTCTCCTTGAGTTCAGTGGGCATACCATTGCACTTGTTATAAGGTTGCTATTGACTCCGTTGAAACTTCCCCCACTTCTCTATTGAATTTTGAATTAACTTACCTTAAGGTTCCACTATAAGCACAAGCAACAAAAAGACCTGTCATTCCTGGAAACTCTTGTAGAAGTTCCAACACCAGATAAGGCATGAGCTGAAAAATGCAAATATCGCATATATTTTATACTTTTTTGCATACATTTTTTTTCCTACTTTACAATACCTAAACATGTGATAAAAATATGTGTAAAATAGTCTTTAAAATTGCTTTTTTTTCAAGGAAGATAAATTCACAGTTCAAAATTGGCATAAAAATACACCATTAATTTAATTCCTCCATTATGCATGGCATACTTTGGGAGACATTATTCCAAAATTTAATGTCATTCATTCCTTAACTATTTCTTTCAAAAGGGGTTTCTTATGATTTCTTCTAGTAACTCCCTGTAATCAAATCATATCCCAATAGAAAACTGAAAATCATAGCCCTAATGTTAAGAATGTTTTAATACTAAACCTGGTCTGTTGCCATCACACATTTTGCTGTCCATGGGTCACAATCCTTAAAAACAGAGTACATTATTAATCCACATAATACTGCACATGCAAGAATTATCCAGAGTCCCACGAGATTGAAATAAAGAGATCTGTAAGGAAACAAACAAGAGGGTTTTTTTTACTTTGTGTAGAAATATCATTATTTTGTAGCATTATATGTACACATTGCATTGCATTGTACCTGCATTTATTTCCTCTTTGGCAGGCAAAGAAAAAGTCTTTGTTAGATAGGAATGTGCTGGTTTCTTTGGCTAAAAAAGTTATGCAAATGTTCCAGCAAATGTAAATAGCTATGTACATGTAAAAATCATTATCTGACTTACCAGGATTTCAGGGGGTTTTTCCCACATGAATTAAAACACTGCTTCTTGCTGTTTAATTATTTTTATAAGGATTTAAAACAATGTAATATTCTTATTATTGTAAACATAGCCCAAGAGTAAGATGTCAGAAAAATATGGAGAAAAATAAATGAATAATGTGCATTATATTGGACAGTATGAGGTATTATTTTGGTCTGCCTTTAGGCCAGTTTGAACATTTAAGATACAATTGCTAAGAAGTAGAGAACTAATTTCCAAACAGCATGCAAATGCTGCTCTTTTTTAATTGTTATCATCCCATCAGCAGACATCTTGAACAGCAAGATTAGCTCTTTGCTTAAAACACAGATAGGATAGTTAATTTTCAATGTCTATGTCAATAGTAATTATGCCTTTCAAAAGGACTCTATACATACATAAATGGGTAATAAATCAGAAAGAGTTTACAAAATCAAAGTTCAATACCGGTTTGAGATTTTAATAATATTGGTAATAAATAATTTGATAATTAATTGTTACAATTGAGGCTTATGCTCTTCAATGGAATGTCCTAAGTCAGTGATGGCGAACCTTTTAGAGACCGAGTGCCCAAAAACTGGCCCCACCCCTGCTCCACCCCCTGCCCCGCCCCTGCTCCACCCCCCCATCCCCTGCCCCGCCTGCCCACAGGACCACTTACCGCCTCCAGGGCCCACCACAGATCGCCCAGGCAGCCCAGCACCGCTATGGCGGTCACGCCCTCTGCCCGCGCCCTGCAGCATCAACTGTGCACGATGGGGTGTGAGGGCAGAGTCTTGTCTATGCTGCCTGGCTGTCATGTCCTTGGCTGTGCTGCTTTGTGTGGGCCACGCTCAGGGGTGACTTTCCTTCAGGGGGGCTGCTGGAGAGGAGGGGGTCATGGGGGGAGGCGAGGCTGGGGCAACAGCACATGTGCCCACAGAGAGGGCTCCGAGTGCCGCCTCTGGCACCCGTGCCATAGATTCGCCACCACTGTCCTAAGTAATGCTAAATTCATTGTTACTAAAAGTTTTGCATTTTAAAAAGCCTGTAATACATACTATATTATAAGAATACAGGTTGTATCATTATTGGACACTGATGTTGAGAATACAATTTAAATGAAAATCCTTGAGCAAACAAACAGAACATGTTAACTTACAATTTTGCTTGAAATCTGGTTTTGCAGGAAAGATATCGCTGAACTTGAGACTGATTGACTGCATATATACCAAGCCAGGTAAAAGTCCCACCTATAACAATTGTCCAGAATGTATGCCTTTGCAAAGGATTAGGACTGAAGCTACATTGAATAAAAATGCATTTTATAGTATTAGCTAACTGATCATATCTCTGTTAAACACTAGTTTATGTTTTCTTTCAATGAATATTTCACAAGCTTAATTTGAAAACATATTAAGAAATCTTAAATATTAAGCAGTAGTACTGAAAGCACAGAACACATTTTTAAAACTTATTACATACATGTAATCCTCCAGATACAATAGATCAATTAACAAATGTTCAAAGTTACAACAGACACCCACAAATCACATATGACCCTGTTTTAAAGTTATGACGGCTGCAGTGCCCCCGTGGTCATTCACCCTTATGACTGACCATGGGAGTGCTGCAGCACTTCCCCATCTCTCTCCCTTCCCCCCCCCATCCTGCCCTGACATGACCCTGCAGCACTTGGGCCTGCTCCCCATGGCTCCTGGAAGCAGTTACCATTTTCAGAGCTCAGACAATTCCTTGCAGGAAATGGCAGCTGCCTTTGGAGCTTTCTGCCCTGATCAGCTGGCCATTGGGAGACCGCAAACTTCTCCAGGCACTTGCTAGCCTTTGGGTAACCAGACTCTGCATGCTAAGGTAGCAGCTTTAGGCCGAGCTTCCCAAAACCTTTCCCTCACTTTAATCCCCTCTCTCCTCCAGAAAGGGGGTTCCTCTCCTCTCCTTTATTTTTTCAATAAAACAAAACAAAAAAAGCTGGGAGGGACAGTCTTGTTGATCTTTTTCCCCACTGCCCGGGTGATAAAACTAAACTCCTACCTCTGCCTTCCAATTTCTATTCCTTTAAAAAAAAAATCTTACCTTGACTCCAGGCTGAAGAGTAGAGGAAAGGAAGAAAGCAAGCAAAGAAACTCTTTCTGCAGCTTTCTACCTTGAGGAGCAGCAGAAAAAACATTCAGCTCAGAAAGTTTAGCCATGTGTATTAAAATGGAACAAAAGTGGGATCCTTACAAAGCTTTTAGCTGTTTGTCTGATTGCTTGTAGGACCCAGCAAGACTCTAAGACAAGTTTCTTTGCTTGCTTGCTTCCTTTCCTCTACTCTTCAGGGTCTCATTTCTGAAGGGTAGAAAAAGCCAGCTGAAGTTTGCAGTCTCCTGATGACCAGCTGATCAGTAGACAGCTGATGGGGCAAAAAGCTCTGAAACATTAGGGAACTGGTCAGTGATGGGATTCAAATATGTGAACAACCAGTTCTCTGTGTGGATGCCACTTCCTGAAGTCCATTCTGAGCCTGGGCAACCAAAAATTAGCTACCAGTTCTGCCGAAGTAGTGTGAACCAGCTGAATCCCACCACTGGAACCAGTCCTTTTTTGCCCCAGAAAGGCAGGGTAATCTTGTCAGGAGGAAGGGCAGTGGCAGAACCAGGATAGACAGGCATGTCCACTATTTTCCTTCTCCATTGTTTTTCACTGGCAAGACAGTCAATTGTGCAGCGAGACACTTGTGGGAGCCTCCCAAGGGGCAGAAGCAGAGCATGGGATATCTCAGGGGGTGGGAGAGGCCTTGGGAATCCCAAGGCAGGTGGGCTTCTACCTGCACTAGGCCTCCCAGGATCTGTCTCACCCTGAGGTACTCTGTGCTCCACTTAATGACCCACACATTTGATTAATGAATACCTTGGGTAGAGCAGGGATGGTTGGTCGTTACTTGAGGCAGATCGTTTAATATTTATTCCAACCTCTGATTCTAATGGCCAAGCTCCATTATGGATGTAACCTGAGACTACCTGTACATCATTAATAATTTTGTCATTGAAGATGCAAAGATTCCTTATGAATAAATTCTAAAATTGTATCAAAAACTGTTTTAAGCTCACACAAAATAGGACATCCAATCTGTTATTTTTTTCCATCTATTGTGGCCTATTGTAGTCTTATTTACCTCTACTATTTACCTCTACTGTACTAGTTTGGATCCTTCCAACAACAAACAAAAATGTAGATACATCCTACAGTAGGTAGGTAAGCTTTTTACCTTATAAAAGCCTTTTTAAACCTTTACCTTTTTAATCTATCTATCTATCTATCTATCTATCTATCTATCTATCTATCTATCTATCTATCTATCTATCTATCTATCTATCTTATTTGACTTATAGTCCACTTTCCCCTCAAGGCAATTTACTTGGAGATCTCTTTTTATTTCATCTCCCACATTACAACTTTATGAAAAAGTCTGAGCAAAGTAAATAACTCAGTGTCACTCAGTGATTTTTCATGAATGAGGTCTTTCTGATCCTAATCCAATAATTTAAGCATTCTGATCAGTAACAGCCTTATTCTATACCTATTACTGGAAAATATAATTTATTTGATATAAATGATTCAACTTAACTACATAACAAATAATATATATCTGAAAGTTTCTTCTCCAGCTCAAATAAATTAAATACTTACTCCCAGAAATTTAATCTTCCTCCATGATAGGTGTCATATATTATATTTCCAAAACCACCTTGTACTATCACACCACGTATAATCACAGATAAGAATCCAGCTATCATGATTGCTGCTTGAAAAACATCTGTCCAAATCACTGCTTTTAGTCCACCCTGGATGGAAAACAAAAGACATAGATTAAAATACAAGGCAAGTAATACAGTATTAAAAGAAATATAATAGGTTCATATTTGTAACAATTGTAGTGTCCTGGGCTCATGCGATCACCTTTTTCAAACTTCTGACAAGCAAAGTCAATGGGAAAGCCAGATTCACTTAACAACTGGGTTACTAACTTAACAACTGCACTGATTCACTTAACAATTGTGGCCAAAAAGGTCATAAAATGGAGCAAAGTTCACTTAACAAATGTCTCACTTAGCAACAGAAATGTTGGGCTCAATTGTGGTCATAGGTTGAAGACTACCTGTATTTAAAATAATAATACTAGAAGTAAATATAATGAATTTGTTCAATTAAGTGTTTAAGCTTTGCAGTTATAACAATTTTCAAAATAATTGCAGACTTACCAGTGTGCAATAGAAAGTACATACTATTCCTGTTCCAACAACTGCACCCCATAAATGAATTCCTGTAACTAGAGAAAAAAAAGTACAAAATATTTTTAAAAAATTAAAATAGCAGAAAATGGTTAATCCAAAGCATATTGAACATAATTTTAAAAATTAACTGATATGGGATTCCAATATGTTCTTGAATAGACAACCCTTCTGGGATAATGCAGATAGTCTAAATCTACAAAAATAAAAATAAAACTGAATTGAAGAGTGAGTCTAATCATTTTTTATTGCAGGATTGATTACAAATATACATTTTTATTATATATGTATTATTGAGGTCTATTATAAAAATAATGTAGAATATAACTATTTAGGTTTTTGTGAAAAAATAAGAATGAAAATCATTATAAGAAAAATTTGCATTGTATTGCAAGTATGACATACAAGATTAATTGTGAATTGATCACATTTTTTAAAGAATTAAGCAGTTCTCAACTTACAACCATTCATTTAATGGAGCATTCGAAGTTACAATGGCACTGAAAAAAATGATTTATGACCATTTTTCATACGACTTTTGTAGTATCCCCATAATCATGTGTTCAAAATTCAGACACTTAGAAACTGGTTCATGTTTATGACATTACAGTGTCCCAGGGTCATGTGATCACCATTAGCGACTTTCTGACAAGCAAAGTAAATGAGGAAGCCAGATTCATTTTATAACTGTGTTACTAATTTAACTACTGCAGCAATTCAGTTAACAACTGTGGCAAGAAAGGTCGTAAAATGGGGCAAAACTCACTTAATAACTGCTTTGCTGAGCAACAGAATTTTTGGGCTCAATTGTCGAGGATTACCTGTAATACTTTTAGAATCCATGTGAATCTTTATTTAATATTTAGAATTGATTAACCTAGGCTATTTACAGCTGAGTAGCATAATTTAGTTATATCACTTTTCAACATTATTATACCTATTGTTCTGATATTGCAACTTGAGTTGTATAAACATGTTCAGATTCAGCAGATAGTTGAAAAATTTCAA